TTTAAATTAAAGATCGCAATTAGTGACAATGTATTATTTTGTAACAGTTGCATCCGTTTGTCGTAATAACTTTGACGATACGAGTCCGTATTCATAGTAAGCAATATGTTACACACAATTTCATGTATATTATCTATTGCAACAAGTTTGAAATAAAATCAAACTTCATAGGTGTTGTAAATAAAACGGTATTGTTAACCGCGAACATTTCAATTGTCTAAATGCTTGCGAATAAAAAATATTCTTGAAACTATCGCGGTAAACAAAACGATTTTGTTAACATTCCTACACTTTTCTTTAATCTTACAGTTTAATCTTCTCTAAAAACGTGGTTCACGTAAGCCAGCCGCACAAGAGAATATTGCACGTAATTTTTGGAAGGACAGGGCAGATGCAGACGATGCAGACTTAACGGACGAGAATTAGGTAACAAACATTTCTAAAAGAAGTGCATGTATTTAAAGGTAAAATGTACACTTTTACAACTACACTTTTAATCGCTTAAGCTTTATATTTGTTAAATGCTCGGAAAAGTATCCATTTTCTCTTCAAAATCAATAGACAGCCGTAAAATTAATGTGGCATGCAATTTTCTTAACATTTCAGTTTGGTACAGATTTTGAGAAGAGGTGGAATACCTGGATGGTAGAAGATAAACTAGAGGCTGTAAAAACCGGATTGGTTGAAAAGTAATTTGGACGAATGCACATTCATCGCGCGTTACATCTTACACAGAAGCACAATTATATAAAGTAAGATAATTTAATTCTTTTTTATATAAAAAATATAAACAGAATAAATTGAGTATTATCATATGAAAGTTTCTGTGTAATATTTTAGGTGTTTAAGAAGCATGGCTTAATTTAAGTAAGTTCAATAGAAGAAAAATTTGACCCTAATCAACATGAAGCACTTTCAACAAGTAAGATCTATTTTGTAAGTAAAACATGCTGTCATTAATTATCAATATGCACAACAGTTATCGATATAAAATAATTTCAGAAGGTTGGAGATAAAAAAACTGAAACAATTGTAGTTGTATAAAAAATAGGAAAGTGATTGCACGAAAGAATAATAAGATCTGCATTAGTAGGTGTTGGTAAAAGATAATTTTTTCCTTTTTACTAAATTTCCCTGAACTTTGCGTTACATCCAACGCCCCATACCAGCATCCTTCTGTATTACCACTACATCTGCTTCTCTTTCCCCATGATTTATTCTTCTCCCCAGTGCTCCATCCTATCAAATCTGTTGTTTAAAGCCTCTTGTTTATAGCCTTTTGTTTATCTTTTACTTGTACCATCCAGGTATTCCACCTGTTCTCAAAATACTTTCTTTATGCTGCTATTTCTTCTTGTAATTTCTTTATTTCCTTGTTTTATTTGCTCACCTATCTTCCTTCTAATCAGTTCCCCTATCTCCTTTTTCCATTTCTCCACTATATCTGCCCACTCATCTTCATTTTCCTTATGTACCGATCTTTATCCTTTTTGCCTGTCATTACCTCCATCTCTTAAAACACCATCCTTTTTCCATTTCCTTTCTCCTCTGTCTCTATTCTCCTTTGTCCTTCTATCTTCCCCTTCCCCACTCAAAACATAAATTGTCTTTTACATTTCTTTAAAGTAGACACACTTACTTTCATTTTATGAAAGTATAAAGTATATAAGAGTTAGCAAATTACACTTGCACTTTCATTTCTTGTGTTATTATAGTAAGGAAATATTTGTCACAAAGTTAATGTTCCAAATGCATAAATGAGTATAATTTTTTAAATAAATCATAGCATAAAAGAAACAAATGTAATATATCTATATAACGTAGTTATATAGATTTCATAGAATTGTAGATGAAGCTTCTTCCTTAGAATATATACCAGCACCTGGTTCTCCATATATAATTTCATGAAGAAAACAACAAAAGATGAAAGTGACAGTTAAAAAGAGTCTGTGGATGCTGTTATGACAGGTATCGATGCTCAAGTGAAACAAAATAAATATGTGACTGAATGGGATAAGGAAGACAAATCTAAGGGATTTCGGGCAGATGTTGACGTACAACACGACGAAAATTATTACAAATTTGTAGGTTTATTTAATAATATATAGCTAAATTGAAGGTTATGTTTTGTACATATACAAATTATAGTAAGGAAGAATATAGAGACATAATTATTTCAATTATTTTTCATTTTGTAGATATATGGAGGGAAATTGTACTGCTGCTTTGCAACAAGAGGAATTCGATCAAGAAATCGAGTACGATGAAGATGGTCATCCTATTGCACCACCAGAGAAGACTAAAATTGATCCGTTAACTCCGATTGATAATAACGAAATGGGTTACGAGTAATTTGCGAAGAATTTTTGCAATGTGCATGGAGAAATTGGAAGTTTAAGCAAACAACAGATTGATGATCTGAGGAAAACTCTCGTAATAAAGGTTTCGAGAAACATTACATATGTTGTATTCAAGTTGGAATACAACTTGATAAAGTTATATAATATATAACGTTAAGTTATATAAAAATTATATTAAGTTATATAAAACTTATATTAAGTTATATAAAAATTATATTAAGTTATATAAAACTTATATTAAGTTATATAAAAATTATAACATAAAAAATAATAAAAAATATTTTTCCAAGCATATATATTATTAATTTATAAACGGTTCAATGGGCATTTAAAGGCGTACATACGCCATTCAATTAAAAAACCTACGAAACGGCAGGCTCTGCGCACAATCTGCCGTCAGTCTGCCGTCAGAGTCTGTCAGCAGTCTCTGCGCGCAATCTGCCGTCAGTCTGCCGTCAGAGTCTGTCAGCAGGCTCTGTGCGCAATCTGCCGTCAGACTGCCGGCAGAGTCTATTAACAGACTCTGACGGCAGTCTGGGGCCGCAGATGTCTATGGATCTGCCGTCAGGTCCTGCTCGAATTCGACAGACTGCTCTGTCGGCAGTCTGACGTCAGTCTGCGCACAAATTGCTTACTGGGTGAGGAGGATCGAATATATATAATGTTTTGGATCTATCAACTAATAAGATTGAATTATGTATCGAAATTCCAAATTCTCGAAACAGCTGTAGAAAATTAGACGTTATATCTGTAAGTACAGCATGCACCATAACACCACAATCCTGTAACTTACATATTACGTCAAATAAAATCGGTTTTAATATATTCGATTTACACGTACTTTCGACTAAACAAAAGCAAAGAGGGATTTTCCACTTACCGGCAATACTACGTGCCATAATGACTAATGCATTTTTCCTAGGTAATGGCAATTTATTATTGCCTGTATTTTCAAAGCCAATTATTTCATCTTGTGAAACATTGTAAAACAAATGAGCTTTCAGACTCATCTCATCTATACACAAGATACAATGACGTTCTAATGCTGGCAGTAAATTCAATTTTATCTTTAATATATCAAAAATCTTGTCATTTATACCGAGTTCTATTTTCCATGTTCGTATAAATTTTTGTAACATACGTGTTGAAGGCAGTGAAAATTTTTTTTCAAGTATTTTATAACTTCGTGGACACGAAAAATATAAGCATAAAGAAAATTGTTTAAATTCGGAATCATATCGTTTTCCACGTTTCTTCTTAATTAATGAATCAATTTGTGTTGATAATCGTGCAAAAGTTGATGAAAATAGTTTACATCCTAATTGGTGTAAGGTTTGTAATTCGTTTTCAGACACTTTGCGATGTGACTCGGTGTTTACCAGATTTTCAATTTTCTTTCGAAGTCTTCTGTTCATTTGTTCCAGTGAATTCACTTTCATTTTCAATTTTACAATTTGCCGCAATTTTCTGTTCCGCGCACTTTCTTCTTCTTCTGTCAAATTCGTGCTGCTACACATATACCTGTATAATATGCATATCCAAATATATTATACAGCAAAGAAACAGATATATGCTTCAAAACAAATTGCAATAGTAACTTCTTTTATAATATAGAAATCATTATGAAGATGTGTATAATTTAAGATTATGTATGTATGTATGTATGTATGTATGTGTGTGTGTGTGTGTGTGTGTGTGTGTGTGTGTGTGTGTGTGTGTATGGATCTGTCGACAGATCCATAGACATCTGCGTCCTCAATCTGCCGCCAGACTGTTGACAGGGTCTGCGAACAGACTCTGGCGGCAGATTGCGCGCAGAGCCTGTCGACAGACTCTGACGGCAGATTGGTGGCAGATTGCGCGCAGATCCTGTCGTTTCGTAGGTTCTTCAATTAAATTTTCTCATAATTTTTCATAATTACTCATAGAATAAGCGCTTTCTCATAAATACTCATAAAATACTATGAAAAAAAGTTTTTCTATATTATTTTTTCATAATTTTTAAGATTTTTTCTGGTGAGATTCGAACTTGAACCGAAGACATCTTTTGGATAATCGTCCGTCGCCTTAGACACTACGCCAATTCCTCACTTGATAAAAAGCGCTTTGTATTGCCCACTTAAAGGTTAAAGAAAAAAAATCTCATAGTTTACCTTTTAAATCGCAAAATATCGACGAAACCGTTTAGCATATAAATAATGTAAGAGAGACCGGCACGATAATTCGAAATTAATTTTCTACCAAGGACTATATAGAAAATTACTGCAATAAAACAGCAGATAATGACATTTTTCCATCATGTTAATAAAATACTGTACTTTTGCATATGCGAATTAATTTGTCCCGTTCAGATTGTATTAAGTTTTATCAAAATCGAAGCATGATATATTTTTATAAATAAACCATCAAAAAAGCTCTGTAAAAGTTATTTACATAGCGGGACTAATATTTTATTCGGTGCTGCTGCCTTCAGTATTTATTTTCAATAACGTATCAAATACGTGGACCACACTATATATTACGATTACTGATTTACCGACTCGTAATTTATTAAATTAAATAGATTGTATAGACGTCAGAATATAAATAATAAAATAATAAATAAATAAGAAATAATAAAAATAAATGATAAAATATAATAAAATTAAATACGATAACGTAAATACAAAAAATAAAAATAAAATAATAAAATAATAAATAAATAAATAAAAAATAAATAATAATAAGAGAGGGAGGGAGAGAAAGGGAGAGAAAGAGACAAAGAGATAGAAACACATTTTTTATAAAAATGAATTATTTTGAAATAAAATTTAAAGAACCTGCTTTTTATGTACACCTTAATATTTAAAATGTCCAAGTTCAACGTATAAATCGTTGAACGGTTAAATCGTTCAGATTTAATGACATAACAACATTAAAAAAAATAATAAGATGAGAAATTGTATAAAAAATTATGAGAACAATTTTTACTAGGGATGATATATATACGCCTTTAAATGGCCATTTAACCGTTGCACTATTCCATACTTGTACTCGTTATTTCTCTATTATTGTTGCTTTTTTATAAAAAATGTGTAATATAATTTTAAAATGTAAACATTGTTTTTTATTGTGTATATGTGTACAATTATTGCACAATATAATTATCTTGACTCCTCTGCAGCAGTTTTACATGGTGTGTATGTGAAACTGCCCCATTTAATAACGTACATATGACCCTTGATAGAATTAAATAGCCTATCTAGGAAACAGAATCTGCGCGCAATCTGTCGGCAGTCTGTCGTCAGAGTCTGTCGACAGACTCTGCGCGCAGTCTGTCACCAATCTGTCGTCAGAAACTGCTAAAACAGTTTCTGTGTGCAGTCTGTTGCTATTCTGTCAACAGACACTGTTGACAGACTCTGCGTAAAATCTGCTCGCACAGGTTTGGCTATCTGGGTGGGTAAGTAGTATGTTGAAAACTCTGTAATGATATTTTTATCCATTTTTTAAATAAATTTCGTAAAAACCCATTTTCCGTCTACATTAACCAAAACCTCTGCGTAATCTTCGTATCATTAAGCGTCGTCTACAATGAGAATTTAAGCCATAACATTTAAACTTTTAGCCCTAAGTCGTAAGAAATTGGCCAATCACACTCGATTATTTTTCTTATAATTGAAATCGCGACATCTATAGGATATCCATGAGATGTATTTTGGATATTTATTCTATACGAGTATCCCATTTAATAGCGTATATTTGGCACTTCATAACATTAAATAGCCTACGAAACGACAGGATCTGCGCGCAATCTACCGCCAATCTGCTGTCAGAATCTATCTGCAGGCTCTGCGCGCAATCTGCCGTCAGTCTATCGTCAGAGTCTGTCGACAGGCTCTGCGCGCAGTCTGCCACCAATCTGCCGTTAGAGACTGATAAAACAGATTCTGTGTGCAGTCTGTAATCATTCTGCCAACAGACACTGTTGACAGACTCTGCGCAAAATCTGCTCACGCAGGTTTGGCTATCTGGGCATTTAATAAAAAGAACTCGTAACAATTTATTAAAATATAATATAGAATATGACACTAACAAAGTAGCTTCATGGACTTATATAGTTGACTTCTACAACAGAGATAACAAACAGCGCATAAAACTGGCTCCAAAATTATCGAAAAATCATATCGAGCCGAATAATTTCCAAAAAATGAAAGTTAAATATGCGGTGCAAATATTTAGTAATAAAGTAGCTGCAGGTATGTGTGCTCAAATAACCTCCGGCTTTCTTTCATCTCAGGCAATTGGTACAATAGACTTTATCGATCATTTTGATAAACTATTCGATATTTTAAATTCTTCACCTTTTCAAAGTCCAAAGGAATTTAAACAAGTTTTTACAGGAAGCGAAAAACAAATAAAATTTTTAGATGAAATGTTACATTTGTTGAAAAGTATTAATGTCATTAATGAGAAAGGATCTCGTATAAAAGTGAAATGCTTTGAATGTTGGCAAATAACTATCAGAAGCATTATACAACTGTGGGAAAAGTTAAAATGTCATAATTTTCCATATATTTGCACACGGAGGATAAATCAAGTTTGTCTTGAAAACTTCTTTGGCATCATTAGGCAACAAGGCGGTAATTGTTTAAATCCGACACCAATTCAATTTATTCGCGCCTACAAAAAATTGTTTAGTATGAAAATTTTACAATATTCAGAAAAAATTGTGCATTAGATACGGATAATATGTTAAATTTCATTGGAATGTCACATTCAGGTTCATTAACATCTTCGGAATTTATTCCATCTACAGGTCTAATACTAGATATTCCCAATCACGAATATTATAACATGGAATTGCCTGAAGAAAATGCGTTTAGATATGTATGTGGATACTTGTTAAAAAAATGTATAGAAAGACATACATGTGAAGTATGTGCACATTATATCAATGATAACAAGACTGTTTTAGACAACACTGCTTTATATTGCTCTTTCCGGGCGTACAGTAACACAGAAGAAAATTTATTTGGAAAATTACATATAGCAAGTAATAATTTTTGTATTTATATAAAAAAATTAGAAGAAATATTTGTGAAAACATTTGAAAATAATTGTTTAAAAAAAAATATCGGTAATATTTTATTTAAAAACCGTACTTTTTGAGGTACCATGTCCCGATTTCCTTACAGTGTATCTAATAAAATTAT